CAGGACCGCTGAGTCTTTGACTTTATTTATTTTCTGCTGTGTTTTACTTGCATCTATTTGAAAGAGTGAGTGTAAACACACAAAAAAATTATTTTATGTGCTGGAATGTGCAGAAAATAGGTTTAAATATTAAACAAATTTCTTCCAGTCAGAGAATGTTGCATATAATTAAATTTTTGCTTGATGCATAAAGTTAAAAGATTAAAACTAATAAAACAAGTTTTAAAAAGAGACTTTTCCATTTGATTACATTTTGTATGATGGATTATGTAGAAAAAGTAGAATTGGGCTGAAAGATCTATCACTTTATCACCTATTCAGGTTGTAAATCGTGTTGTTAAAAAGTAACTAAGTAATTAATTACTTTTGAAAATAAGTAATCAGTAAAGTAACGGGATTACTTTGAGGAAGTAATCAGTAATTAGTTAATGATTACTTTTTTCAAGTAACTTGACCAACACTGCTTACTACCAGCTGACTTAAAGAGTCGTCTGCAGATGCAGTGTGTGACATTTTTTTTTATTTTTTTATTTACACTTTAAACTACTTCTACAATACAAAATTTTATTCACACACAGTAAATAGGGAATTTTAGATGAAATGTCATTGCTCACACTGAAGCAAGGTAAACATGCAGGTGTGAAGAAACACCAAAATCTTTACCAAGAAAGCCAAAGGTGGGGAAAGAAGGGACATAGCAACAACCCAAATACTTCCAGTTCATGTGTGAAATATGGAGGAGTCATGTATTCATGTGACTAGATGAGATCATGTAGTCACATGATTCCCCCATGCTTAGTTGACTGAGCATGCATGACTGCTTCTGGTACTCGTCATTCTTGTTGATGAAATTTAGCTAGGTATGACTGAGCTCAAACATACTGCTCACCGACAAAGGTGAGCAGTATTCCTAAATAGCCAATTTATTTGGGAATTTTGATCTAAGAGGTTCCCCATTAATATGCAGAGTCAGTAATGTAAACTCATGGCACTCAAACACTGTCTTTAAACAGCCTGGACTATATAAAGTATATAAAAATGGCCTTGCTTGTTACTTTTGGTTGTAATTCTTGTGGATAAAGACAATCCTCAAAAGTACTGCAGCTGTGTTGTCAGCATTTCTCTCCAGATGTGTTCAGACACAGTTAGACAAATAACACAAATACTGGTGGTTTGAATCTAAGAAAAAGCTTTCGGATACAGAATGAAAATGAAAGTCATTTTTAAAAAGAAGTGAAAACAATGTGAAAGGTCTTGTTTCATGAATCATCATAAAACAAGGTTGACCTATTTTCAACAAATCCACTCCCTCTAAGGAGGACGCTGTCAGGAAATGGCTGTGTGGTAAGCATAAATGCAGAACTCAGGAAACCAGGTGTAAATGATAGAAATGTAGTTTTAATGCTGATTATTCATAAAGTTACAAAAAGTCCAAGACAAATGCAGGTCAACACCAGGGAACCGCAGGGTGGGAAAACAAACAACCTCGAGGACGGACATCACAAAGAAGAGGAGACAACACGGGGGGGAGGGGAAACCTGGCAGCACTGCTGAAACTAATGGAGAAAGTCAAATGACCAAAACTGAAACCAAAACACAAAATGAAAAACAGATAACAGACGTATACAAAACCAAGGCGGAAAAAGAGTTCAGGTGATGGCTAGATAATCCATGACAAGAGTTGAGCAGCTCGACGGGCCGGCCAGGAGCCCAACAGAGGAGGTGTTCTGGGAGCCGCACAGGTGGCCAACTGGTGTAGATGAAAAAGACCTCCAGTGGTTTGGTTGGAGGCTGGCATCGGCAAAGGGGATAGGACCCCTTAGAAAACCATAAATGGAAGAAAGGCCAAGGAGGGCTACTTTTGTGGAAGTGACAGGACTCCTTAGGTGCCCGGGCTGGTGATGACAGAATAAAAGACAAACCCTCTGGCTAACAGGCTGGTGGTGACTGAGAAGACAGAGGTCTTCAGGAGGCCATACAGATGGAGTCCCTAAGGAGGGAGGCGGCTGGCAATTGCTGACTGGCAGACAAATGTTAAGCTTTTGGAAATCCTTCCATAGCTGTGACTTTAACACTAGTGAAAATTTGTGGACAATGCTTAAAAGCTAATTGGAACCAGACAGAGTGTCAGATTAGATTAAAATAAATACAAAGCTCGTGTTGCGACACTGTAAAATGTAAATCTAAACCACATAAAGAATAGAATAATCCTTTAATTGTTCCACAAGGGGAAATCAGCAGCAACCCCGCCCCCCAAAAAAACAAAAACAAAAAACAAAAACCACACACACATATACAAACAGAACAGGACACAGAACAGAAACACAATTTTTACATATTTACATCGTGGACAATAGTTACCAAAGCAGAGTACTGTACAGTTATTAAAATTAGAGTGCAGATAAGTGGCAAACCCAGGTTGTAGTGTGCAAACAGAGCAGAGCAGGTTACTGAAAGATGTTTAAATAGTAAAGAATATTTAGAATAATTAGAAAAGTGAAGATTGTGTATTGTACCTGTGCATTAAAAATTATGAAGCCGTGCTGCTGTGAGAGATACAGTGTGCAGTTTAGCATTATCTTGCTGAAATCTGCCAGCCCTTCCTTCAAACAGACAAACTGAATGGGAGGATACGTTGCTCTGAAACATGTATATATCTTTCAGTGGACAATTCTACAGTCACTGATGCACTGATGCATACCCACACCAGAGATGCAGGTTTTTTAAGTGAGCGCTGAGAACGAGCCGGGTGGTCTCTCTCCTCTTTAATACAAATAGCAAAATTTCGCCTGTAGTCAGAAGAGTTTTCTACTTCAGCCCAGAGGAGACGCCGCAGTCACACCGGGCTTCTTCTTTGCATGACAGGGCATTTGTAGATAAGTAAACCATCGTAAACCAGATCAAACTAATACGTGAAAGTTTACTGAATATCAATTTATTTTAACTTTTAAAATCACGTATTTTTGAATATGACAGGTAATCAGTGTTGGAAAGGTTACTTTTAAAATGTATTCCATTACAGAATACATGCCCCAAAATGTATTCTGTAACGTATTCCGTTACGTTACTCAATGACAGTAACGTATTCTGAATACTTTGGATTACTTAATCTATTATCATGCTTTTTACAACAACGTGAATGTAGTACTATTGCTGTGTGATTTATTACTTTTTTTTTTTTTGTGTCCCGTTTGGATCTTTAGCCATCAGAATTGTTGTCTTAAGGCCAAGAAAGATGCCAAGCGGATTTATTTTACCAGGTGGATCATCATGGCCTTGCCATATTGGTCCATTTGATCGACCTTTATTATAAGTATGAATTTATTTTATTTTCAAACGGGACAGACATGACTGGGGGATAGGACAGAGAGAAAGAAAACCAAAGGGGAGAAGAGACGGTGAGAAAGGGGGGAAGAGAGAAGAAAAAAAACAAACAAACAAAAACAAACAAACAAACAAAACACCTGGGTCACCTGTATGGAGAAAAAAAACAGAAGAGAAAGCAAACAACAAAGAGCAACATAATAAAAAAAATAAAAAAAACAGCACCGTCACAATAAACTAGCTAGCAGTAGATAACCGTAGATACTAAATAATAAACGATATTGTGCAGCACGCAAGATAGACAGCACACAATGTGCTTTGAGGCAGCAGCCAAGAAAGCTGTAGTCCGTGTCTGTGAACACCCGTGTGTACACCTGTGTGCATACCTGTGTGGATCAGCATGCTTGTATTCCAAAGGTTTCTCCATGTAACGATCTGCTAGGGAGTGTGGGGAGCCACAGCCCCGTCCACCAGGGTATGAAGCAGGTATGGAGGAGATCCAGGCCCCAGATATCCAGAGGCCCCAGAGTACAAGGACCCGAGGAGGACCACCAAAGGGGGGGAACCGTGCCACCCTCCTGGGAAGAGCTGAGTAGAGCCCCAAAGGAGAGGTCACCCCGCAGCTACGGAGCAGAGGCCAGAGGGGGTTGCAGTGGCGTGCCCGCGGGCTCTGCCGGCAGCCAGCTGTGCCAGAGAGGACCGAGCTTCAGGCCCAGAGGCCAGAGGCCTGAGGGCATCCCACCCCCCGGAAGGAGCCCAGCCGGGCCACAGGCGCCCGGCCCCACCAATCAGCCACCAGGAGTGAGCCGATACATACATGAGCGCCCAGCCCCAGACGACAAAGACCACCAACACACCAACGTCTGAGGGCATCAGCCACCGGCAGGGAGTGTGGTGAGGGGAGATAGGCCTCCGTACTTTAGAGGGCCTGAGATGTACCCAGAGAGGTTGAGTCTAAGACCCAACCTGACATATAGACACAGACGAACAGGCACACGCGGACACAGACGTGCATTCCCACCCCATATGCACAACCAAATACTCGGCAGTCGGCACTCACCCAACGTGTAGACAGACACAAATAGACACTGCACAGACAGTCGCACTCCCCAAACATACTCTATATCCCAGGTCCAGGTACCCCCGCCCTCAGAGGGGCAAGCCGCACCTAGACCCAGGAGATGTAACCCTTCTCTCTGGGGTGGAGGCAAGCGAACCACCTCGTTATCTGCAGTAGCAGGGAGACCCCGCATCCCAGACCCCAGTCTGACGGCCAGCACCTCCTCCCAGTCTGACGGCCAGCACCTCCTCCCAGCCCCCCAGCCCTGACGGCTAACAGAACCGGGGTGAGTGAAGACCTCAAACCTCCCTACGCCCGCTCATATGTAGTGTTGCTGTGTGCTGTTCTAAAGTGCATTTAAAACTCAGGAGAGCATGGTTCCTGCTTCCTCTCATAGAGCAGCACGGCTCTTCCCGAAAACCCTTAGTGTCTAAATGCATTTAAAATTGAGGGTAGGGCACCAGCGCCAGAGGTGGGTTGGAGTACACCGACCATCCTCTGGATGCTGTAAAACGTGTCCACCCCCAAGGCCCTATATGTACAGTATGTGTTACGTGAGAGTGAGTAATGTGGATGTCTAGGTTGCAGAATAAAATTAAAATACAGTTACTTATATTTTGTATTTTAAATACGTAACGGCGGTACATGTATTCCGTTACTCCCCAACACTGCAGGTAATTGAGTAAAACATGTCCTAAAGTTTCTCATTTGTTGATGTACATTATATCCAGCTTTAACTCGTCCCAGGAGCCTGTAACATAATTTATCCTTATGCCTACAGTAATATTAAATATAACGAAGCGTACTAATGTTTATATTTACGATTGCATCGTTATTACACGGACTACACAATCCTTCAGACAAATACGATAGTTCATACACGACATATTGGCATGAAGCTCAATGATTACAGTCAGAAGATAACATTCCCTGTGATTAAAACATTTATATTTTGTGTTTCACAACATCCCAGTTTTCCCACTTGTGTCAAGCTAGCCTTGACTTTGAAAAGGCTTTTATTTTGGAAAGCAAAATCAGAATGACTTGAAATTGACATGGTAACATCGTGAGGTTGTATCCTGTTGATTTAAAGTGAAATTATTCTGTGGAAACAGAAAATTTCCTTTTTAGAGCATTCTGAAATCACTGAAAGTTAGGCAAGTTATGGGCATTTTCAACAGGCCATTATTTTGGAAGGCAAAATCAGAATGACTTGAAATTGACATAGTACCATGGTGTGGTTGTACACTTTTGATCTAAAATGGATTCATCCTGTGGAAAGAGCAATTTTCATTTTTAGAGCGTTCTGAATTCTTTAAAAGAGTAGGTCGTATTTAATTGTACCTGACCTGATCACTAATTCCCGTAGGCGCCCTCACTAACAAACAGTATTTCTCTGAGGTGTCATCCAGTCTCATCATGTCTCTGACAGAAAACCAATTAAGGAGGCCTGACTGTGCTTTGTGAGTTTGAGTTGGAGTTGAGTTGGCACGCTGCTGTTTCAAGTCACCGCCTGCTTGCTGCATACAGCTGGAAGAGCTAACCGCTTCCGTCGAAAAATAACTAAATGAAGCAATGTTTGAGGGCTCTAGTGCTGCGTTCGTGAATATCGGGTTTATTGCGACAACATGACTCCAACATCCGCTCATTAACTTTCTTCTACTTATTTTATGGTATTTTTGTTGGCTTTTTATTCTTGGCTCGGTAGTTTCTAGAAGCAAATCAGGTCCTCAAGAGTGGGACGATAAAACCGCGAAGAACCGAACGAAACACGCAACACTTCGTTTGTCCCACATAACGCGAACGCAGCACCTACAGCGGTAACCTACTTCAGCGTACACAGTAGTTGAGCGCGAGGTTAAAATGCTATGTGTGTAGCATGCAGCGGGATGACGATGGTAAAATACTGCCGTGCTGTTACTGAGTGTGCTGATAGGAACCCCCGACAGTAGAGCGGCAGCAATGAGTGAGACTGTGAAGAAGAGACGGAAAGGAGTCCGACTGACGAACCCCAAAAACAGATGGAGTGAGTACTGGATATTAGAGAAGTCTTACCGCTGGATAACCCGAGTCCACCTAAGTTAGACACACTTACAGTTATTATCATGATGTTACTGAGCGGTGTAGTTTCTCGACAAACACGGTACCTGCCGAAACTTGCTGAAGTAACTTATCTCGAACAGGTTGCGCCCATGTGTGTATCGGTGTTTTTCCACTTCATTGTAGGGAAACCTCTGCTGTTCATTTACAGCTGACATAAAGTGCGGCGTGGAGGTTACGACTTAAATACTTGACCTCTGTGATGTGTTTACAGTCCGTGACATGAAACTTTTTGAGCTTGTCGTGATGCTGTGTTCATGGTATGAGCCTAAAATGTTGTTTGGGGCTGTGTCAGGTGCACATATGATCATTTAGCTTGTGGTCACCTTGAACTGTGATGGTCTGTAAGCTTGCCCTCACATCTGTTTTAGTTCATCTACTGTGCGCATGTTGTGGATGTTGCTGTAGATTGCCTTGTAGCCTCAGGAGGTGAAATGACAGCCAGTTTGAAAGACTGCTTTTAGCTGCATTAGCTGCTGGAAGAACACCTTTTCAGCGCAGGCTTAGGTGGAAAACACATGGTGCTTATGAAGGGAAACAGTCTATATCATGGATAAAACTTTCCATTGGGTAAACAGATAAATTGGCAGATTTGTGATATAAAGGCTGCAGGAATGAACAAGAACATGGAAACAGGATATCAGGCAGCTTTAGTTAGTCTTGCTTTAATCACCTCCTTTGACTTGACAGCATCTTGTTATAACATGTTTAAGACCCTGTGGGCCCGAGGGAGGGCTGTTTTTTTTTTTTTTTTTTTTTTTTTTACACCCACATCACATCAGAGCTGAAAAGAAGTAGCTCAAAAACGCAGCAGTGTGTAGGGTCAAGAAAGAGTCAAACTGACACTAAAACACAACCTGAGACGTGTTTTTGTCCCGAGGGCTCATTCAGCACAGTTCTGCAAGTTACTGAGTAGGAAGGCACTGCCACTGGTGTTTACACAGGACAACAGATTGCAAATGCCAAAGTTGTGTACTGCAGACTCAGTAAACATTGTCAGGGACTTGGCCAGACTGAAGTGAAACCTGGACTGTGTCCCGCAGCTGCTTATTTAATCTGCTCTGGCTGCAATTTGTCTGTGTGTGGAGTGTGGTCGCTCAACATGTACATGCAGCAAAGAGTGGAGTGACAACCACAAACGAGTTAGCTCAAAATGATTTAGAAGAGCTGCGGTGTTCAAAGTGATCTTTGGTTTAACAGAGTTCAGCTCAGACGGATCGATTGAATCTAACCTAGAAACTGTCTTTGGTTTGTTTTTGTTTGTTTCTGTTTTTCCACCAACCACACAGTCAGCGTATACTTTAGCCTCCTGATATGATGTGATATGTTTTCAAAATGATTATTTAATTGCATTATGTGTATATCTATCGATCTATCGCTTCCACAGTTCATGGTGACTTGTGCAATTGGCTTAAAGTTGGCATGTAATAATAATAATAATAATAATAATAATAATAATAAGCGTGTGTGAGAGACTGGGAATTATAATGGATGTATTAATTTTAACTTTACTTTTACTTTTTTGCTTAAGATAGAAACTAGTTACTTCCTGAAGTCTTGAGTTCAGCTGGCAACTTGACTCTTGAAGCACCTGCTCCCTGCTGAGAGCCCCCCCCCCTCCTCTTTATGTGATTTAGTGTTTTTGACTGACAGAAATGGTTCAGGGCTTGAACACTCTGATTGGCTGGGGGTTTCAGTTGGTAGTTTACACGATCGCCTTGTGCATGTGAGTTTTTTCCAGATACTATTCTAATTGTTGGCTGTGGATGTGAGGTAGATAAACTTGGATAACTTTAAGTTTCCGGGACAAAACGCAGTTTCATTGTATGGTCAAACAGTGGTTTGAAGTACTGCGAGTGGTTAGTGTGATTAGAAAAGAGCCAAATTCACTCTGTTTATCTGAGCTCAGGGACCCTTCAGTGAACACCATCTATTTAGAGGAAGTGATACTTTCATGGTTTCATAGGTGAGCCAGTAGAAAGTCTGTCTACTTTTCTATTTTTTGACCAGCTGGCAGGTTCACATCTCGATCACTCGTCGTCGTATGGCTGCTGTGCTGGTCTCCCAAGGCAAGTGACCCTGCTGCAGCCAGGGCTTCTCTTTTTGGCCTTTGTCTTTAGTCTGCCAGTTGTGCATGGAAACAGGGTTGTATCTAGCCTGCTATGTTTGGGTTAGCAGCTTAAAAACACTAGATGGGAGCTTAGGAGCGACAAAGACTGGTGTTTAGAGCCGCTGACTACAAACCCACTGGGAACTAATTTAAGTCTTTGTTCGGATGCTGATGTCTCTGACTTACTTTAACTGTCTTCCATGCAATGATTATTTGTGTTTTAGACACAAAGATTTACTTATTTTATGGTAACTGCTTACTTGGTGATGGATCTATTTAATATAGAAAGAAAACCCCACAGAAATAACACTGGTATAGTTGACTTTCACTTTTATTTGGCTGTGGATGTGAGATAGATAAGCTTCCAAAGTTTGTAGGACAAAATGTTGTTTAACTATATATTTAAATGTATTTTGTTGTCAGAAGCACTTCTTTCCCTGCCTTTGATTGCCTCTTTAATACTTTTTGATTTTGAAACAAATAAACTGATAAACCTGAGCTTTGTCTTTGTTTGTCTTGGTGATAGAAACCAGCCTATCACCAAGTTCTTAAGTGATGTGTTAAATACCATTTAAACTGTACATTGTTGTTGATGCTGTCTATTTACCAAAAAGGCTTGCTCTCCAGTGTTTTTGATTCTGAGATGATGTGAAGCACAAGTTGGGGGAAATTCCTTCCTCAGAGTGTAAAACAAACAGATGATTCAGCAGACTGTCAGCGCTGCAGTATAAACACGGGATTAATAAAGAGGACCTATGTAGCAAAAGCTTTGTTGCTAGGTAACAGAAACATGTTAGGGGCTGTTGTCTCAGTACATCGTAGCTGCTAATCATAAAGCTACGCTTGTTATTTACACAGGGCGACTTAAGGCGTGGGGTCTAAAGGGCTCAATTCCAGCTCATTGGTTTCTAACGTCTCACTGTTGTAGTGCACTGCATTCTTATACTTTAATTAATACAATCCAAATACCTGTAGCTGTCATTTTTTTGTGTACGTGCACAGAACATAGACAGAAGCTGACTCTGACATCTTCATTCACGTATTCTGTTGTGTTGTTTAGGTGAACAACCCATGAGTAACATCATCACGGATGTTTCTGAGAAGCATGGTAAGTGCAGATCATCTTTCCTTTGGGTACTCGAGTAATGGTTTCATAACTGAAAGTCAGTCTTAAAGAATGCTCAACTAAAACAACTGCCTTGTGAGTTTTATAGTCTACTCATAGGACATGTTAGTCACAGTTTCACATTTATTTCAGGCATAATGGTGTTAATGGACTTAACCTGAACAGAAGTCTGATAAGCTAGAGTGCTGGAAAAGAGGACAGAGATTTATGAGGCTTTAAACGAGCAGAGGAGGTATGGGGAAGTGAGCACCGACGTATGTTTTCAGTACTGAGCAGCTGCTGGTTTCTCCAGGTGCCATTCCATCAGGCGAAGATGATGGACGACAAGGGCCCTTCAAGAGGCTTAGTGCCATGTGGTCCTCCTTCCGCAAAGGCAAAAGGGACAGTGAGTATTATCCTGTTGAAAACTGATTTTTGAAGGTGCCGCTGGACATTTGGACACGTCGTGATTAGATGTCAACACAGTTTCCAAATGTGTGACTGTAGTCGTGGTTGACCTCACGTGCACCGCTGAGCTGATGTGAACAGTGTTCTGTTGCAGATGCTAGGTCTTTTTTGGCCAGCGTTAAATCTCGTTTCCTCTCGTGCATTTGTTGTGACAACACAAGAAGTACTGGTTAAATAACCCAGTGCATCAAGGGCAGAGATTTTAATATTGTGGAGTACAGTCTCCACCAGACATCAGGGCAGTGAAATGTTTCTATATTTATTATAATATTTAAGTATAATTGAATAATTAATAATAGAATGATTATAATTTTAAAGCCATTATTAATTGTACATACAAGGCTATTGTTTAAAAATGAGACATTTAAAGGTTTTCAGCATCAGAGCAGCTGTTTTATGTTTGAGCCTGAACACTGTCATTACAGCCAGGTGGTTCAACCTCTGGCTCCCTCAGTCTGCAGCCAGAGACTGAATCCAGTTTTGAAGGTTGTTTCCTGATGTGTTCAGTATGTGTAAATCTTAGATAGAAAGCACTTAAGTGTTGTATGAATGGGTGAATGGAGCGTGTTGTTTAAAGTGTTTGGAGTGCATAAGCAGAGTAGAAAAGCGCTACATAAGAACCAGTCCATTTAGCATTTCCCTTTTTTGAACAGCAGTGGAGACACTACTCACAAATGCATGCAGAGGTGCCCTGCTGGCGCCATTCCCGCTGTCGGCACTGGGTCGCCACGTTATGCTGACAGATCGGTCTCCAAATGAGTCGTCACACCCCCACGATCAGGCAGCAGGTCCCTCTTTTCCACGCTGGCCTTCTGGGGCCTCTCTCCCCCCCAGTGCTCACCTAGCTTCCTTTTAATAGGTCTTTTAAACAGCTGATAGGCCACATCTAGACACACCCATGCCTCAGCAGGTGATCACTATCAGCTAATTGTCCCATACCCAGCAGGTCCACAGTGGAACATCATAAAATCATGCAAATAAAAACTACACTCAGAAGTAAACACTAAAATCAGGTCCAATATAAAAGATAGATACAAATTTCCACTGTGTGACATACCCCAGCTGGGATAAGCTCCGGTGCCCCCCGCAACCCTGAAAAGGATAAGCTGAAGCGAATGGATGGATGGACTAAAAGTAGTTGCAAAGTGAGGATGTGAATAAAATGTTATAGAAAGGAGCTTCTATTTTTTCCAATGTAAGTTTGAGAAGATGGAAACAGTGACAATGATTAAAAATGAATTAAATTAAATTTGATTTATATGGCGCCAGATCACAACAACAGACGCCTCGAAGTGCTTAAGTCCAGTTCAGCTACCAGCCAGTAGAATACAATACATTTATTGTCATTGTATGTGTCGCATACAACAGAATCACAATGTCTAAAAAATCTATACTGATGGAGAGAGTTGTTTTTGGTGTCACAGGGTGATGGGCAGAGTTCAGTTTAGTGATGGCTGTTGGATAAAAACTGTTCCTCATGAACCTGGCAGTTCGTGGATTTGCTAAGCTATACTGTTTGTCAGAGGGGAGCTGGGTGAAAAGATTGTGACAGTGTGATGTCCTTCACAATGCTCCATCTCTGCTACTTCAAAGCAATGATGATTTAGGGAGAAGTTGTTATGGGAGCACCCCTCAGACTGTGCACCTCACCTTATTCCTATTTGAGATGAGTACCACCAGTGGGGTGTGGGGCACAAGTCTTGCCATCTGTGGACTGTCACTGAGAAAATCCAGTATCCACTGATATAACTGACTGCTGAAGACAAGGTCAAGCATTTTACTTATCAACTACTTCTGGTAGATAGAAAAGTCACTTTAGACTTTTAGACCAGACTGACCAACTGTGCACAACCTAGATTAACTACAAGAAAGCTTAGGACTCTGTGTCACAAACATAAATCCTGGAATGACTAGAACTATACATGATCTAAGAGCTTTCATCAGACTGGGATGGGGCGAACAACACTACAGGCCAACTTCAATAGCACAACTCTGCATGAAGTGCAGGATTTAGTAAGGAGGAGCTGCTCTGTCCCCACTGCTTTTCTGTACAGGCCTGAACCCCTCAGCCAGGTCAGTCCAGACACTTTTTTTCCAAGCTCTTTAGACTGTAGTTCTAGACATTCCAGGTACCATGTGTGAGGCATCGAGTCATAGGTTGAATAGGGTCATTAGTCTACTCTTATAGTCTCAAGGAACTGCTCTGTCTAACAGTAGCTGGTGTTTCGCATTTCTCTCTCTTATATCTCTCATTAGTGTGTTTGTGTGTATCATATATGGTCTTTAATGTTGTAACTTCTCCAATTTCTAACTGGTGTGTTGTATTCATACAAATAAGAACTATTGGGAAATGCATGATCAAGCACACTAAATGTGTTTGTGTTTTCTTTTTTATCTTCACATAGGAGTCAAAGAGCCTGAGCTTACAGAGCCACCTGGTCTGGAGGCAGCAGAGAACACAACCAGGCAGCACCGCTATGCCAGTGGTCAGTACTTCTTTGAGTATCTGGTGGTGGTCAGCCTCAAGAAGGCCAAGGACGGCAATACCTACGAACCTCAGATTACCTACCAGTTTCCCAAGGTCAGTATGATCGTGAAAGCCAAATATGCTTGTCTACCACTATGTCCGGTTGGTTAGCCACCACCATTTTGTCCGTCTGTATCTGGAAGTCCCACAGGATCTTAGCTCGGTCATTCTCCACCACCCTTGGGGGCATCTCCCATTTTGACATCGGGACTTCCAGGCCATACTCGGCACAGATGTTCCTGTACACTATGCCGGCCACTTGGTTATGGCATTCCATGTATGCCTTGCCTGCTAGCATCTTGCACCCTGCTGTTATGTGATGGATTGTCTCTGGGGCATCTTTACACAGCCTGCACCTGGGGTCTTGCCTGGTGTGATAGACCCCAGCCTCTATGGATCTTGTACTCAGAGCTTGTTCCCGTGCTGCCATGATTAGTGCCTCTGTGCTGTCTTTCAGTCCAGCTTTGTCCAGCCACTGGTAGGATTTCTGAATATCAGCCACTTCCTCTATCTGCTGCTGGTACATACCGTGCAGGGGCCTGTCCTTCAAGTCAAAAAAGTCAAAGTCAACTTTATTGTCAATTCTGCCACATGTACAGGACATACAGAGAATAGAAACTACGTTACTCTCAATCCCTAGATAAAATAGCAAATGAACATTTAAATATAAGAGTGATTAAAAAAATGCAGGTAAAATAATTAAAAAGTAAAAATTTAAATAAATACAATACAATTTTACATATAACAAGAAAGCTATACAATGTACAATGATGGTTCCTTCCATGATGGTTCCTCCTCTTCCTCCTCTTTCTTGGGTTTCTGCTGCCTGAGGTATTCACTGAGCACGCGGTCAGTTGGGGCCATCTTACTGATGTACTTGTGGATGTTTGTTGTCTCATCCTGGACTGTGGTGCTGACACTCACAGTCCCCGGCCTCTGAATGACATTCTAATGTCATTGCTGTGTATATTTTGAAGATACTCAGAAAGGATTTGAGAGAAGGGACAGCACTGCCTCTAACATCATGCGGCAAAACTAACTGTACTCCATGAACATCTGACAGCCCAAATGAGCATGAACCCACTGTCTAACTGAAAGCCCGGACAGTCCTGATCCCCACAGAGGGGTCCCGTCTTTTCCAACTATTACAACATGGAAGCTAACATCAGCCATTATAGCAGATAAGATGAACAGGTATATGGAATGGCAATACATGAGAAGGACCCAGAAAAGAATTGGCACCAACACCAGAGGGGCAAAACTATCCATTGGTAGATAGAGCAGTCATTCAAGACTGTCAGACCCGACTGACCAACCTGTGCACAATGTGTATTGACTACAAGAAAGACTCTGTCTCAATGCTCCAGCCACTCACTCACTCACTCACTCACTCACTCACTCACTCACTCACTCACTCACTCACTCACTCCAGGTGCAACTTGGAGTTGTCAGAAGGACCAAAATATATTTGTCTCTCACTGGAGTTATTTTGGATTTAGTTAAGGAGAGCACCAAAGCAGGGTTCTGACAGTGGATCCATGGATTTCATTCTGATATCTAATAGTACTCAGGGGTGGCGCTGCCTAGCCTCTGGCGGTCTGTGTGTCCCTCCATGAATATGCGTGCCAGACCATCACTTGGTCATTTTACTGGCAGCATAATATTCTCTCTGACATGCTAACAGTGCTGACACTGACCCTGGCTAAATGCAAATCTAGTGAAAAAAAACTATGTCTGTTCTGGGAATTGTTGCATTAATTAAATGAACACCAAAGCAGCTGAAACGACCTGCTCTGCTACTTAAGTGTCCAAATCTATATCAGAGAGGTTCAGTTAACGTAATGATATACTCTGATTAAAAAGTATTCCTTAAATTTTGTTTTGTACAATTGTACAGTTATAATCAGTTGTACATATGATGTATGTATCTATTTGGAAACAGTGATTTAAACTTTTATATTTACTTGCAGAGAGATGGAATGGCGAGATCTCAGAAGGAGGAGGAGGAGAAGACTTTAAAGGCAATCACACTTTTTTGTTTCCCAGAAGGCATCAACTGGGCTCCTTTGACAGAGTACCACAGGTAATGCATGTCAATCAGGTGGTCTTTAACCTTTGAGCAGTATTCAGGGTTCTGTTCTGTGTAAACCAGCCTACAGCCCCTGTTTTCAGTTGTTGTTGTCCATTTTCAGTGAGACCTTCTCCTTTGTTCTGACTGAGATCGATGGCAGCAGAAGAAATGGATACTGCAGGAGATTATTGGTCAGTGTTCAGAAGCTGTCCTTTGCAGAGTGTCCTCATTTGGAAACTGCTGTTTGATATTTGTTTCACTCTCTGATCCACAGCCAGGAGGGAGAGGAGCGCGACCACCTGAGGCTTACTGCATCATTAGTACACTGGCTTGTTTTGGGCTCTTCTCCAAGGTGAGTTCAGCACAACAGCTCTGGAAGAAAAATTGGCTGAATTTTAGGAAACTTGTTGCAGAGGTTGTGCGTAGTCAGATTACTTTGGTAGCAGTTAATAGTACTTTGTTTAGTTGGCACCAAGCCCTGTAAGCAGGTTAAACACACCCAGGGAATCATCCTAACATCTGCAGTCAGAATACACGGTCACACGATGCTGGTTATCATTATGGATTTCCCTGTGTATTCACATGAAAGGGGTGGTGTTGGGGTTGGGGTTTAGGGCCTTGAGGTGGCTGTTGTTGTGATTTGGTGCGATTATAAATTAAATTGGTCAAATTCAGTTTAATTCAATCACAGTTATGTGTACTTATGTGGCTACAACTGTAGCTGCCTCCACCAGTGTGTGAATGTGAGAGTGAATGAATAGTGGAATTGTAAAGCACTTTGAGTGCCTTGAAAAGCGCTATATAAATCCAATCCATTATTATTATTATTATTATTATTATTATTATTATTATTATTATTATTATTACTTTCAGTAAAGCAACTGCTTATATGAAGCAAGATAAAACTATACTGTTGGAAATACATGAGGAAGTTAAACCCATAGTCTGAAAGCAACATGCTTTGGTTAAAAAGGCCGGTGCTGTTTTAATAAATGTTAGCGTATTTGAAGCCAAGAAAGAAAGCTGACTAATCAATATCACAACTCTGTATTTATACATATGTGTGAATCTGAAAATTTTCATTGAAATTGATTTTAAACAGTCGTTTTAGTTTGTATTCTTTGAGCTGCAGCTGCAGTAGAAATAAAAATCTAAAAGCAGCTTATTCAACATGCAAATGTGATATTAGGTCATCCACAAACAGATGTTTTATAATCATAGAACATCAGATGAGCTGATGTTCTGTGTTTTATTGCTTTATTGTCCTTTCATTATAGAACAATAGTTTGTAGCCAGCAGGAAAAAAATCAATAAAGTTGTGCTTAAGAATTTATATTTTTTTACAGATCACCTGGGGAACAACAAAATATTAAGAGACTATAAAGACTTTAGCCCCTCTTACTATCCTACTATATACTATATATTATACTACAGTACTGTCTTATAGGATTGCTGATACTAGTTTCCAGAGAAATTACTGGTCAGTAGTCAGTGATTTCATACCTGTTGACCTCTAATCTGGAACATAATCTGCTCCGCAATAGGTTATGGTTGCAGCATGAGTTACCATGGCGATATACCCGGTAGTGAGGAAGAAGAGAAACGTGTTCGGTACAGAAAAACCCAGAATGAACCCTGAATTTGAAGATGAAATCCTGCTTCGTAATTATGGTATTCCTATAAAAGACAAAGGTTGGGATGAGATGGGATTTCATGTGTACCAGTATCAACACAGCGAGGATACAAGGTAGCAAGTTACAGTATCTTGGGAAGGTGTTGCTGATAAATCATCTAAACTGGAAAGTTAGCTTTTTTTTTACATTTCATTCTCCATCAACGACAGAAGATGCCAACAGTGTTAATGGGAAGTAGATGACAGACCTCGCCGACCGTACATACAATACACAAACTTCACATTGGGGAGACAGGTCAGGATAGGGCGCAAAAGGAAAAAACAACAAAATATGTAACACAAAAGGGCAGATCAGGAGAGAAAAAGAATGTCTGCTCATACTGATCCCCAAAGGAGTCGGCATGAGGAGAAGACAAAAACTCTAGCACATGAAAAACAGAAATATCACCACACCATAAAAACACAAGACAAGCAACATGGGGGAGTATGCCAGTGTGCACAGCTGCATCTGGGACGCTGCAATCTCGCGATCGTGCCTCCGGCTGAGCCCCTGTCCACATCGGATGGGAGGAGGGTAGTTGCATGAAAGATGATGGATATGTTGTTTTAGAACGAACAGACAGTTGTTCTTAGTGTCCGTCACTGGTCTCCAGGTGTATCTCCCGTTTAAGAGCTGTGAGCTCCTCCCAGATCTTTTCCATCGTGTATCCTGCGGGGAATGTCCCTCCAGGACACTCAGGCTCTCCCGAACCCAGGCTTCTCGTCGAGAATAGAGTGTCAATTGCATTCAGGGACCAGTTGATCAAATCCATAGTTCTTCTTCTTTAGTTTTTAGAGAACAAGAGTGAGAATGAGAGGCTCTCTCGGGGTTAGTCAGACGAGACCAGACAAGGACATAGAGGCAGCAGCAGGGAAAATAAGGGAAGGAGGGGGTGAAAGACGCGTCCACCTCCTCCGAGAGCCAAAGCAGAAGTATGTCATATGTTCAAGTGTGAAGGTAGAAACTAAATGATTAACTAATTGTGTTACTGACTGTGAGGATTTGAGACAGCTTGTCCATGAAACGGAACAAATTGAAATTAGATATTTAAGTCAATAACAACATAAGTAAAATAAAATAATCTTGCTTTAGCATATGTCGTACTTTGAGTTTGTGACTATTCTCTCCCATGTGTGCAGATATTCGACGAGGTGGAGAAGCGCCGGCAGATCTCCATGGCCATGATCTATCCATTCATGCAGAAACTTAGAGAAGCTCAATTCCCAGCACCAGGGAACACAGTGGAGATTAAGAGCTTCATTCCTGAGTCGGGCACTGAGGTCAGAGTGAGCGCCTCTTTGATGTCTATTAAGAAAAGACTCTCATTTATCTCGTCTTCTAACTCCATTAGTAAATTTAGACTCAGAATATCTCTTTTTGTTCAAAACACAGTACAACGATCCTTTAAAATGTGTGTAGCTCAGGTTGTCATGTCTGTGAGTTTGTTATCTGTGTTTTCTGGTTCATTTCAGTTCTTCATCTGTTTAAATCAGGGCTGAGGAACCTTTTTCATGTGAAGGGCCATTTAAATTTTTATATAGTTCTCCGAGGGCCATACTGTTACGGACACATAACTAGGGATGCAAAAAGGAAAAACCAAAAAAAGTCTATGAGGTTTCAGCTTCTTGGCTATTAACTCACCAGAAAACTCGCGTGTAATATTCTCCCGGTCACTCTGTGGTCGTGTCACATAATGACGTACATCACGTGCTGTTTGACTCGTTTCCCACACCTGATGTAAACGGTTTTGATAATCTGGAAAGAAAGAAGTAAGCCTATGTGTTGACATTGGACTGTTTGTTTTCATGCCCTGTTAGAGCTTCTCTCTCAGCTTTGAGGTATATTCAGTGCAATGCTGTTGGAACTGCCTAAAGACATGTAAACTGTTCAGGACTGAATTCCGTAACTTCAACAGGTGTTACTTGTTAAACTTGGGACAAAGACAACAAATGTGACTAACGTAGCATTCGTTGTTATTAAAATTGGCAAAAGTTCAGACCTCACAAACATTTTAGTGATTTCATATAATGTCAGCGTCTTCAAATAATTTGACACTGTTAACCACATACCTAGCATTCGTAGCATTATTTTTGTAGCCAAAATGTGAATGTTGAGGTCAAGAAATGACAAGAGTTCACAGCTAAATTGATTGTAATGAGTGATCTGAAGTGCTTTTAATATAGCCACGTCATGTAAGCCCCCTGTGCACTGAAAATAAGTGTCAGTGTGGCAGTAAGCATTTAGAGACAAAGCAGCAGTAAACGATGTCTGGAAGCAAACTGCAGACAGCCTAAAATGATGCATGCTGGTAGGAACGCCCTCTGCAGTGATCAACGAGATTTTTACAGTCGTCGAGTAGATGTCTCAATATCAACAACGAAACGGCACACATCAAAGAGCCGAAAAACCCACTAACCACACACCTCTATCTGTAAAATAATATATATGTTGAGCAGTTAAAGGTATTAAAACTACATTAGGCAGGTCACAAAGAGCAGTAGCCCAGGGACTATAAGAGATCCCTCAGGCTGGCATGTTTCTGAGGACTTGTCTGAACATGTTTTGCATTACCCAGCCTCTGTCTCAGAGCAGAAATCTGACACCCGTCATAGACCATGTTTCAACAGCTCACAGTCATCTCAGGTATTCACTGATGGTGGTCATTTTTTGTGACCAGGCCTCAGGGTGGGGGACAACATGGTTCTCTGGCTTTGTAAAGACATTTTTATGGGCAGTTTTTTAAAGTGGAAGAAGAATAAATATAAAGAAACGGTGATATAGAAAGAGCTGAAAAGCAGAGCCCTGTCAGTTGAGTGATGACATGCTGGCACCACTGTTGACATATTTGTGACAGTGGTGACTTTCCACCAGATCATCAGTCTGACCCGGCCGCTGGATTCCTGGCTGGAACACGTCAACTTTGCCACGCTCTTTGGCTGCCTGACGGACCAGCAAGTGCTGCTGGTGTTTGCAGCGGCTGTCTTGGAGAGACGGATCATTTTCATCGCAGATGAACTTGGGTAGATCACATTGTCTATACACTCAGACACATACTTTAATCATACCAAGGTATACTTTTATGTCATTTACTGCACAGCGTAGCCCCGGTCGTACCACTCTATAACCAGGGGAAGTCAGTGTAAGGCCTGCAGCTGCAAAAACGACTGGATTAGAAAGATTTGTGGGTAATTTACCAACAGTGTAATAGTAGTAACAGTTCAGGATGTGCAGAAGAAGATCCTGGGCCATGTTATGTGAGACTAAAGTCAAAGGAATGAATTTTATAGTTTCTCCAAAATCTGAAACGACCGTAGTCCGAACATTTAGATATTAACCACAGACACAAAGATCTCTCTGGGTGATAGATTCTTGTTGACAAATGTTATGTTTGTGTTCACTACTGAATGCTCTTTGTAGATTTTATAATTAACTGATCTGTGCTCAGTTTGATTACACAACACGAAACACTGCCAACTGCTCAGTTTAGTGCCTCTGGTATCTATGCACCTCTGATGCACCACTTTACATCCCACTCTTACATTAAATTCTAGCATTGCTGTGTGAAAACACTGGGACTGGACAGAGCCAATCACAGCTTTAACGCATCCCTGACATCTTAGTTCTTGTTGCATCGGATACAAAATTTCAAATAATAATACATGTTTATTGTTTGAAAAGAAAACTCGTATAAATACATGAAGCAGTGTGTGTTTGTATCTACACCTTTCAGTCAGTATTACTGCTTAACATATTAAAACATTGAGTGAGGCACAGCTACGTGTACTTAAGCCATAAAAGAAGAAGAGAAAAATTGTTTTTTAATCACAAACATGTGTTACCATCGCGATACCACCTCTGATGTCGACTCTGTCTGTCTGCAGCACATTGTCTCAGGTCATTCATGCAGTAGCAGCCCTGCTCTACCCTTTCACCTGGCAGCATACCTTCATCTCCATTGTTCCAGAAATCCTCATCGATGTAGTGATGGCACCTACCCCTTATCTACTGGGAGTCCAGAAGCGCCTGCTGGACCAAGTCACTGACCAGACTGATGTGAGTTAACATGGAGACCATAAAAACAACCAAAAAGATGGTGTTAATATTACGGTGTTAATATTGGCACTCTGTCCTTACTCTGGTCCTTTTTTGTGTGTAACACAGCTGCTGGTGGTTGATTTGTCTGAGGATAAAAAGGACCCATTCATTGTTTCAGTAAGAGTTGTCAAATGATGAAAAACCTAAAATGTTAAAGTCCTTAGGTCAGGATTTGTAGCTAACAAAAGGGCTTCTGTCACAATTGCAGATTGGTGATGAAGGCACTATCCTGCCTCCAAAGCTCCAGGCTGAAATATTAGTGGCTCTAAGTACAAGACAAAATGCATCAGGTGGGTGAACAGCAGCACATGAACACATGTAGCACAGTGTTTCTTCAATCATTCTTAAATGCTTTCTGTCCTCTCCTTCAGCGGGGGAGGAGCTAAACCGAGTGGTTTCTGAAGCCTTCCTGCAATTCTTCGTGAAAACAGTCGGCCATTATGCCTCATATGTAAAATACGCACGAGCTGGAGAAGGTGGGGTGTTTGATAAGAGAAGCTTCTACAAGGCAATCGAGCCCAAGGTCACTCGACACTTTGTCAAGAAGTTCATTCAGACGCAGATGTTTGACTTGTTTATCCAGGAGGTGGAGCAGCAGCAGCCTGGACCACAGCAAGGTTAGTACTCAACTACAGCTCGTAAATAAAGGAAGTAATCCCAATCCCAGGGACTCACACTCTACACTTTTCACTGTGCATGTTTTGTTAAATATATGAGCTGTGATTGTATAATTTCAGTCTACAGTCTTTAATGCCCACTTATTCATGCAGTTCTTTCAGTGTGTGAGACATGAACGACATGCTCTCAGTATTTCTTTCGGGATACCCGGGAGACGACCTAAAACAGTGCCTGCATGACTTCAGGGTCCACTCAGCCTTTGACCAAGTGACAATATCTGTCACTTGGTCAAAGGCTGAGCGTAGCAGCACAAGACTTCTCTAGTGGAACATTTAATCCCTTAGGCTTACTTCTTTTTTTCCAGATTATCACATTTGTGGAGCCCTTGTGGCTTCCTCCACTGCACACTCCTCTCTCACCAGTGTTCTGCATCACTATAAAAGGGTAGAGAGTCATTAGTCCCATCGTAATCACCTGTCCCTCTGTCATCCCGGCACCGCCCGATGAGCTCACTGCAGCGGGTCAGAGACCACACCCCTGCCACAGCTACCTTTGACCCCACTGACTACATGGGCCTGGCTACCACAGGATATTCCAGGGTGCTAAGCCGGGTCAAGTCACTAATCCTGGCCTCCAGAGCTGCAAATAGGCTTCAACTTTTTGTTATTAGTAAATGAGGCCGAGGAGTAGCTAAACATCTGACACAATGAGCATAAAAGTGAGGGAGGGACACGTCTGCAAACACACAGTGTGTGTTTGCTGATGTTTGTTGAGCTTTTTGTGAAACTTTGCTTTGAAATTTAAAAAACCCCTGACTCTTTTCATGCTTGTTTCTCTTCAGTAGCACTAGCTTGATGCTGAACTACCACAAATGTAACATGGACACCTGAACTGTTCTGCCCAGTTTAACCCTGGAGTATAAATGATACAGTGATAACAAGGAAGTGATACAATACCCAAGTGAGAGCACCGCCACCAGAATCCAGTCAACAATTCAAGAACAAATGACAGGAGGAGAGGGAAAGGCCTGTGTGCTTCACTGAACCAGTCATTTGATTGGAATAGAGTAAGAGCCACATGAGGTTGGGTGCAACACCCACAACCATGTACACCAGTGTGTTAGAAGTCTGAGCAAAATAAAGGACGAAATGATGACATGATAGAGCGTCTCATTGGTAGATCCCACACTTGATGGTGACTTGCGCTATGGGCTTGAAGTTGGCCTCTAGTGTTGTACGCCACATCCCCTGTGAGTTCCTGACATGTAGATATATAATCTGTGTGTGTGTGTACAGGATTGCTCTCTGATCATTAGGCTCCGTCACTCTCCTTCTGGTTAAGCATATAATTCATTTAAAGTTTGTAGCTCTTTATTTGAAATGGTGGAAAGTTAAAGTCTGTCTGATGCCCAAATATTCCAATCCAACTTTATTTATATAGCACTTTTAAAAACAACAAAGTTGACCAAAGTGCTTTCCAATAATAAAACAGAGAATATATTGTACTATGAATACAAAGTCAAGTCATTATTTAAGATTAGCCAAGCAAGTCCTCACATTTGTGACTTATGTTAAGTCATGCACTTGACTTCTTTGGTAATTGTGCTGCAGCAAAAGTCCAACCTGATTTGCATTTCCTTTGTCCTGCAGGAATATTTCACAAAAAGATCCTTGAATATCAAGAGAAGAAGAAAAAGGAGAAGACAAAGAAACACTAGCTGTCTGCATAGAAATATGGCTGTATAAAGGGGTATATAGATGTGAATATTGCACTGTGTTTTCTGTGTTGTGTAGTTTGGAGTATATTAATTATGTTCTCATGTGTGAATTACTGTATGTCTGTGTGACTGCTCCTCACAATGTGAAACACTGGCAGAATGCAGGACTTAAATTCTCTGTGGTGGTTTTTAGCCTTTCTGATAATCAGGAACTAATTTCAAATAAAGACGAGCTTTTTAAGTTCATGAACCTGCAGTTTGTTTTTAAGGCTACTGATAGAAGATGTAAATTTGGGTGGAGCAGCAGTTTGTATCCAACACTGTGGCTGTCTCTGCATAATGTTCAAAGTAGACATGTACTCCCAACGCATGCACAGGAAAAAGAGTACATATGTCTTTATGCATAGTGTATATATGTCTGTTTTTAGGGATGTGCTGTTGGCGGGGACTGCTCTACCTGTTTGTAGTCAGATCCTTTTGACCCGACCTTTATTTCATTTTTACAGAGACAGTCAGAAACCATCAGCCAGTGTTGTACAGAATAAATTATCAAATGATTAATAATTAGCTGCTTTGTGATTTTACATCTGTTTAGTAATGGCCTCTTCACAAAACACACAATGTCACTGTGAAGTGGATCTTTGATTTTTGTCAGTTTGGAGAAATTGCTTCCATTCCTTGTTAAGATATTACATTCATTACATTTATTAAATTAAAGTTTTCAGATTCACACAGACTCTCACTTTATTGTGCAGACTAACGCGGGGCAGTGGGTACACCGTATCCAAAAGTGGGGAAATCGATTTCCCCACTTTTCCATTGTATTCCAGCTGTGTTTGGAGTGCAGTGAATCCTGTTAATGGCTACTGATCATATCCATGGATGCTTCTATGTAGATTGTTCACTGACATTTTTAACTGTGCAGTGAAGCATCCATGAAATGCATGTTCAAATTATTGTGATTTTTTTTTTACATTTTTTTGTTCAACATTTATTTTTCCACCTCCTGTCTCTCCTTCGTCCTTGTTTCATCTTTGCACTGCCACAAACACACAAACACTGCAGTTACAATGCTAAACCTAGCTTAGCATTATAACTGCAGTGTTCACTTTGACTATGTGCCAACTCTCACCTCTTACCGCTCTCCTCCCTGCTCGCTCTCTGTCTTTGTAAAAGGTGAAACATCATTGACAGTAAAGTTTAGAACAGATTATAACTGAATATGGGCTGCTGGACATTAACAGGCAACATTTATTTGACTTGCTCTCACCTGGATTTGGAGTTGTACTGCAGTGTACACAAACACTGAACCACAATATGAAACAGTGTACAATAAGGTACATCAGCTCCTTGGCTAGTGCTGGAACTCGGGCTGTACCACACTAGCAGTTCTGAAAGCTAAAATTAGCTAATGATAGCTAGTGATCCAGCCGGTGTTAGGAATCATTTTAACTCTATTTAGTGTAGTGATGGGCTTTCCGGCTCTTTTTAGAGAACCGGCTCTTTCGGCTCCGAACCGGCTCCAAAAACTCCAAAAAGCATGTACAAACTCCAGAACACATTTCTAGCGTTAACTGAACTTCCAAAACAGCTACCTAGATCACTTAAATTACACAATTGAAAGCATATGTGTATTGTTTGTGTATTTATACACAAGCACTCATATATATTCAAATAATTAAAAAAAAAAAAGTTCATTTACCTGTTACTACCACACTAGGTAACAAAAGCTCAACACTGCCCCTAGCATCCTTGAGCACTTCTGTTGTCCTTTGTACGTGCTTCAGAGTTTTTACGTGTTTTGGAGTTTGTACGTGCTTTGTCTCTAGGGGCCACCGTAAATATACTTTTATTTATTCACTCCACATAAAATGTAATAAATAAATCATATAATACAAAAACAAAATATTCACATTTTAACTTTTAACTATTTAAATTTTCAGCTTTTTCCTTTTAAACAAATTTAAAATGAAACAACACAAAACACAGCAAACCACAACACAATTAAGTAAATTAAAATATAAAACAAAAAGAAGATGCACATTCTCTGTCATATGGGCCTGCATGAATAAACTTTCTAAATCCTTTATCAGCTGCAACTGAAAATAGTTGTGGATGATTACTATACCTGTCTCTCCCTCCTGCTCTGTATGTTCCTGTGCTACTGAGAGTGTAACTCCCGCCCCTCCCCCCTCTTCCCAGCAAAGCACAAGGCTGGTATGAGGAGTAAAGCGGAAAAAATGTGTGAGAGAGCCGCTGAGAGAAAGAAAAAAACAAAAACCCTCTGCTTGCGATAAGGAGCTGGCTCGCGTCGTTCACATCAAAGACCCGGCTCTAAGCCGTTTCGTTCGCGACCGACACATCACTAATTTAGTGGGCAAACGTACACGAGCAGGCAGTTTGTAAGTCATGTTAACTGTAGTATCAGTATTGTGGTAGCTAACGTTTTAGGTAACGTGTTTTGAATCAGCTCCACTGATTTGCGTCATGCTTCCCAGAAACGTAAATAAAAAAATTAAGACTAAATCAAGACTCCTGTGCAATATCACAATTAGAATAAGATATAAAATGATTCAGATTTTTAGTGAATAACTGAAATTTAACATAAAAAATCCATGTATGTACATATATGAACGTTTATATATTTTTATATACACTCCCACAGTGCTCTCAGCAGCTCAGTCAGTTCCAGCGTGGTACCATGATAGGATGCCACCTGTGCAACAAGTCCAGTTATCATTGCTGCTAAATATTCCAAAGGCAGCTGTTCGTAGTATTTTAACAAAGTGGAAGTGACTGAGAATGACAGCAGGGTCAGCGGATGCTGAGGGATATGCAGAGGTCACAAACTGTCTGCAGTCGATCCCTACAGACCTCCAAACTTCATTTAACCTCCAGATTGGCTCAAGAACAATGTTTAGAAAGTTTCATGGAATGGGTTTCCATGGACGAGCAGCTGCATACAAGCCTAACATCATCAAATGCAAAGTGTTGGATGCAGCACACCAAGACATTTGGGACAATTTCATGCTCCCAACTTTATGGTTTAGGGATGGCCCCATCCTGTTTACACATGATTGTGCACTAATGCAAAAAAGCAAGGTCAATGAAGACGGGTGGGTTTGGTGTGTGGCCTGAGTCCTGGCCTCAACCTGCCAGGATACCTTTGGGATGAATTAGAGCTTAAACTGCAAACGAGGCCTTCTCATCCAAAATTAGCGTCTGACCTCACAAATACGCTTCTGGCAGATGCTCAAAGATTATCTAAACACTCTCCAACCTTGTGGAAAGCCTTCCCAAAAGACTTGAAGCTGTTATACATGAAAAAGGGTGAGTCAGCATCTTATTAAACCCTATAGAGCAGGGGTAGGCAACTCCAGGCCTCGAGGGCCTGTGTCCTGCAGGTTTTAGATGAGTCCTTGATCCAACACAGCTGATTTAAATGGCTAAATGACCTCCTCAACGGCTGCGTCCCAATTAAGAGACTGCACGCTTGAAGTACGCGCACTACGCGTACTACGTACGGTGCGTACTATAAGTACGAAAAGTGCGGAAGTGAGAGGCTTGTGAAATGGGACGGTATACGCATCGTCGCGCTGTTCAGGTTGCCTAGCAACCATGATACTAACCGCGAGACACGTTACATAAAGCATTGTTTGACAGAAATGAAGGAGAAAAATGTTCTGTTGGTCATTCATTTTTGTCATGACATCACTTTGATTAGTTGAGTATCTGAGGCTGAGACCACAGGACTGTAAAACATGATTGTTGGGCTTCATTTCTGTGCTGAACAGTCATTTAAGATTAGTTAGTAAATAACAATTAGTTAATGTTGTTCATGAGACTAAAGTCATCTCACTGTGGTAATGTAAATATAATATGGCCAATATTATAGTATTGTCAGATTATTATGATATAATAAACACAAAACCACAACACAACACACACACACACAAACAACAAATATCACTGACTTTCAGCTTGTTGTGTTTGTGGATATATGACTGACTTTAATTATTAAACATTCGCACATAAATAAGTGACGTCATATTCAGTACTTTTGACAGTTCACTCTTCGGCCGCTCCATCTTATTAGGGAAATTCCATATACATAAATGTAAATTTCAAAACTCAACCCCATCATTTAATTTGTTTTTGATTGAAATTGAATATTACTTAAACTCTCTTAAATTAACTTCCAATAAAAAAGGTTTATCATTGATTGAAATTCATTCAGAAATGTTTAACGAATGAGCTGTCACAACTTTCAAGTACAAAGTTGTTATGAAGTCTGTCACATTCCCCCTTTTTCTTTTTTTATCCTTTATTTATTTATCCTTCTTATTTCATTGTACTGTATATTGTTACTCTTATTTGCCTTGTATGTCTACTGTACAAACTGAACTGGAATGACTGACTGTTCGCTTTATTTTCAATAAAGTTTGGGGAAAAAAAACAACCTCTTCAGCCGCTCCCTTCTGCCGTATTTTGCGGCAAAATTATCCACACCCACCGCCGCGCTATGAATTGTGGGATATATGGGACCACGAAGCGTGCACCGGACCACGCTTGATATTTGGGGAAATCGACGGCGCATTTGGAGTATGCATTTGAAGCACACTTCGAATTGGGACAGCCGTCGTCGCGTGGCGGTGACGTAACCGCACTTAAAATGCGTACTTCAAGCGTGCAGTCTCTTAATTGGGACACAGCCAACATGTCCTGAAGTTCTCCAGAGGCCTGGTAATGAACTAATCCTTTGATTCAGGTGTGTTGACACAGGGTGAAATCTAAAACCTGCAGGACACTGGCCCTCGAGGCCTAGAGTTGCCCACCCCTGCTATAGATTAAGAATGAAATGTCTTTCAAGCTCATTTGTCCCTAAGCAGGTCCAGGATTTGCGGGTCTGTACAGGAAAAGCAGTTCTAGTATATTTTTGAAACCAAGACATGAAGAACTTGAAAGGTTCATGACATGAAAGGTTCTAAAATGTTAAAATCAATTCCTCAAAGTTTTTTTTTTTGTTTGCTGAAAAAGAAGAAAAAAATATTTGGAACAGATTTACAGCAAATATCATGACATCACAATAAACAATTAAAAATCAAATATGGATTATTTACATTTCAATCAATGCAGCACACCGTACATGAGGAGGGTGTACAGCGACCTCTGCTGGTATAATAAATGTATGCTGCAGAGCAATGTGAAGAAACATTATGAGAATATACTTGTGTGTATTGTGATGCATGTCCCTGTCAGAGGTTTTCACTGGTAAGAGATAAAGATAAAGAAGAAGACAAGCACCAGTCCCAGGTTTGAGCAGTCCTGTATTAGAGGAGAGGAAATAAGCAGACACTAGAGCTTGGAGGATGATTGACCTGGGTCAGTCGTCACATTGCTTGTTACTGCCACATTAGAGAGTACTGTGTAATTCTGTGATATCACATATTTGCCCTAACAGTCTGCCTGGTAGAAACAAGAGTAGGGGAAGAAAACTGAATCTTAAACTCAAGAGATAACAAAGGCAACCAAAACACCTCTGTGTGAGCGCACTGTAACACTATGACACCAACAACACGGGATCGTTAAACCTGTTTTCTTTCTATCCTGTAGGTGAACACAAAGCCAGAAATTAATACTATACATTACTGTTACTACTGATAGTTATTTTTAGGTGTGCTGTGATACAATTTGGGGGCACTTCAGCACCCAAAGAAGGGTCTAAACTGG